AGAGGTAATCTATACTTCCAAGTAGAAAAACTTAGTTGGTTGTTCTCCAGTCTGTTTATGAATCAGCATCGTAAACAGAGTATGCCTTGCTTTGCATCGATAATGTTAAAGATCGTTTAAGTGTACAATGTCAAACGCATCCTTTACAATGGATTAAGCTTCATTCACATCCTCGAATATGCTTCTACACGTCATGTCACCACCGATGGTCTGGCTTTGATTCTCAAGTGCAAGCAAGCGACTAGTTATCCTCCTTTACAGCTAATGTTCACAGACGATAACGCTGTTTTAGATATTGACTTGATCATCAAAGCAATTGATCGGCAGGTGTACTTCCAGCTATCGACAATATCATTTAGGATTAAACAATAATGTGTTCTCAAAATCAGCTTAAATAGAAAAATTAAAGCCAATCTGCAACGCTATTTTGATCCAATCAATTCGCGTTGAGATTGCGTAATGGCACTGGACTCGAAACGCTCACTAGGCATGATGAAGCTACGCGGTTACGACTTTTACCGCGCCATTGGATCACCGAAACGAATTGTTGCACCAATGGCAAGTTTTTTCAGTAAGAAGCTGACAATCAAAACGAGTAGAGTTGACTCAATCTGTATGCTCTCAATTGTTATTGTAGGTGGACCAGTCAGAGCTAGCGTTTCGCATGTTGTGCCGCAAGCTCGGCGCTGATTGCTGCTACACGCCCATGCTTCATAGTCGTCTATTTGTTGAGAGTGCCGAATACCGCGAGAAAATGTTTGAACACCACATTGAAGACCGACCACTTATTGTACAGGTCCGTTTGTCGCTTGCTTTTTATTTTTAATTGACAATAAGTGTATATGATTGTAATTTAGTTTTGCGGCAACGATCCAAAAACAGTATTAAAAGCAGCAAAATTGGTCGAGAATTATTGCGATGCGGTGGACCTCAACTTAGGCTGTCCACAAGGAATTGCTCGTAAAGGTCACTACGGATCGTTTTTAATGCATGACAAAGACACGGTCCAAGCAATAATAGAGACACTTTCGGCAGAACTTTGCATTCCCGTGACTGTCAAGATTCGTGTGTTTCCAGACAATAACGAGACATTAGAATTTGTCGACATGTTACAAAAAGCTGGATGTGATCTACTTACGGTTCATGGTCGTACAAAGGAGATGAATAAGACGTCGGTGCGTGAGGTAGATTGGGACATTATACGACGCATTAAAGAGAGATTGACAATTCCAGTCATTGCAAACGGAGGTATTGAAACTTATTCGGACATTGCTCGCTGTCTTGAAGCTACCGGTTGTGACGGTGTCATGAGTTCTGAAGCAATTTTAGAGAATCCAGCACTTTTTGCTGATTCGTACAACAAAGAAGACGTTCATCCGTTCTTCGTCCAATTAGCTAGACGTTACCTTGAGTGTGTGACATTGTATCCACCTGCAAGTGACAAAATTGTCCGTGCACATCTCTTTAAGATATTATTTCAAGATTTGTGCGTACATTCGGACTTGCGAGAAGCACTTGCAGCTGCTAAGTCACAAAATGAAATGGTGGCGATTGTTGATGAGCTGACTGTACGATTGAAGCAGAAAAAGCAAGAGAGCGTGATGTACTCAGCTGAATTGAGTTGGTATCGTCGCCATCGACAAGGTCAAAATAAAAGTAGACGTCAAGAATCGTACGAAAAGTGTCTGGATACAGGATTCGGCAACTTATTTTCGTCGAATACGGATTGAAAAAGGTCTATTTCTCATTCTGTTTCTATCATGTCTATAAAACGTCAGAACTTTTACGAACGATTAAGATTCAGAATTCAATCCCATACCCCATCCAAGCTTTGCACGTTTTTCTCGTCGAGGTAAATTATCGTCTGTAGACCGTAATGTTGAATCCATCGTCGTAGTTACAAAATTCTTTGGTAACGGCACGTGCTCCATGATACTGTGCTTCTCAATGTCCTCATTTGAGAATGTTATTGTTCGCTTCCCTTCCCGGTGTGATGTTAGTATCGTTTTTACTTTCTTCTTGTCACTACGAGATTTGTGACGATCGCGTTTACGATTAATCGAGTTCGTGTCATCAAGTATCGATCTCCTGTTGTGAGTGTGTTCATCGTTATGTTTGTGTGACGTATGACGATGAGAAATGCGATGTTTCTTCGCTTTCGACTTGACTAAATGTTGTACGAGCTTTTTCTTCTGTACAGGAAATGTAGCTGTCAAACCTCGAAAATCGAATGTACGCTTTTGTCGTACACTATCAAAGTACCGCATGTCCAGCAGTTTTTTAACTGGACTCCGACGTGCAGGATCCAATTGTAACATCGCTTCTAACACGTCAACTACATCCTCTGGAAAATCTGGAAATTTCATACGTTGTTCTAACAATGTCTTGCGTAATCGCATCTTGTACTCATGTTTTGGTCGAAATGTATTGTACGATGGAAGCTTCTGTGCCCCCTCCCACGACATGGTTGGAGTACCACATAGACGATAGATCAGATCCAGCTGTACCTTAATATCTTGCCCTCGCAGAAATGGAACTTTATCCAATAAAATTGCTAGCACTACACACCCCGCCGACCAAATGTCTGAACGCCACGTATACTTAGTCTCACCCAGCAAAATTTCTGGAGCCGTGACGTACAACCACGCCCCGTAGCAATGTTCTTTTCGTTCACTTTCGCTCATTTCGTACGCAACTAAAGGAGTGCGTTCACCATCTTTTGACTTGAGATTCGTCACCTTCCGCATAGCATGAAATCCACCTAGTTTAATTCCACTTGAAAAGATCAAAAGATGGGAGGGCGCTAAAAACCGATGAACGTATCCTAGATCATGTACCGCAGCAAGACTTTGTAACATGTCAAAGATGGTCTTCTTTCGCAATTCCACATTGAGGGATATATGAGCTTCAAAAATTCCTGACAACATATGCAGTGGTTGTTCAAATGCTAGATAATGTTTCTCACGAGACAATCGATCAATGCCTTTCGGTAACAAATTGCCGTCTTCATCTACACTGGCAGCAAGTAACTCGAGTTCCTCTGTCTCCTTGGCACCGTCAGTTTCGCTTAAGTGACGATCTTTCCGATCTGCGGGAAAGATAATTCCATACAGATTCATGAAACGATCGGGCATTAATGACGTGAGTGTCGTAGCTGCAGACAATTCACGCAAACATCCGTCGTTCATTCCTCGTTCTTCGGTAAAAAATTGCTCCTGTTCAAGATAAGGCCATGATTGGATATATACTGCTTTACCAGCGAGATCAAAGCTCACGTTATTTGAAATCGTTCCTAAAAATGCTCGTTTTCGAATCGATTCGACCGCGATGATCGCATCTGTGTACAAACGTGCATTCCCATTCGACTCAGTTGTCGGTGCCTTTTTTGAAAAGATAGAAATTGCTGAGACGATGGCAACGTCACCTTCGTTCTCTTGACTTGATGCCGACTGAACAAGTGGAGGCAGACTTCCCATATCGCTAAATGTTATAAACTTCTTGTCTGAATTGTATCGAGAAGTATTAGTTGAGTACGTCATCGAGTTAGGAATTGAAGCTGAAGAAAAAATCCACTGTTTCAATAAACGTGCAATTCGCTCGGAAATTTCCACATCCATTTTCTCCTTCGAAACATCAAATCGTTCCATGTCGAAGTCCGTCGAAGTACTTTCTCTAAATTGTTTTTGTTGATTCAATTTACTTTGCTTTTCGAGTCGATGCCAACGTTCTTTCAGCAACGTACAGATCGATAAAGAACAATTTAAAAGCATACGTACTTCGCTTGCATTTGTGTGGACATCCAATTGTGGCAAATAGTCCGGAGCTCGACTGCTTCGAGATGCTGATCGCAAACTTAATGCTTCAATCACTGCAGCACTGACATAAACGACACTAAGCATGACACATTCCACAGATGTGTGCGTCCAAATGAGCAACGGTAAAGCCTCAGCTACTAAATGTTTCGCTTCTTTTTGAACTTCTGGGGGTGGTAAAACAGACACGAATGGAAAGCCTTGTCCATGATATCCAGATGTACACGATACAGATTTCTTTGTGCTTTTTCGTGTCGTTAGCACATCCAGTAAGGCGTACGGATCCTCACCTGTCACATCATAATGCAGCCCTTCGAGCAATTCTCCTTCTGCCTTGACCAAGTGACGTTTTAATGCATTTAGCTCTGGCGACGACTCTGTCAATCGTTCAGCAGCACTCGTTCCGTGCTTAGCCTTGTACACTTCTTTCAAAAATGCTGGATACGAAACTTTGCGTGCGTGTGCTTTTAAGAACAAATGCAGCATTGTAGCTGCATACATATCGACTTCCATTGGCATAGGATGAAATGTAAAGTACCGATTGAGTGCAATGATAGCACTAGTAGCATCCTCTCGATCAAGACGCAAGCCTTTGGCAATATGAAAGATACTCTTGACGTATTTGATACGAAGAGTTTCTTCTAACGAGGCGGACAATTTTTGTTGTACGGACAATTTCTTTAATTCATCTTCAGACACGAGCCAATTAAGTTTACGTCCATAGCAGTACGTACTTTTTCGCTTATCGTACGACTTTTCCTTTTCGTTCGATGGAGACGAAATACTTCGATCTATTCCTCCTGCTAGTCGCATTGCTTGGAGTTTGGCTTTCTGTTGTCGAAATCGTTCAAGTTCCTTCACGCCTGCTGGATACACACGCAACATTTTGTCGAGTAAATTTCGACGATCTAATGTACGACGAAATGAAGCTGCAAGTTCGTTGCTTTCAATCTCAACAAGGCCCCATCCAGTTCCATTCAAGAAATGAAAGACATCGGCACTTAAAACCGCATGAGGATGTTTTCGAGTGATGAATAAACTGCGTAACATACGTTCATCGTATTCTTTTGGTAAAAATTTGACCAATAGTTTGTTCGACACGACTTTGCCCTCACGATCGAGAGTTTCTCCCATTTCATTTGTCCTTTGCGTACAAAAGGTTGTCTCACGTTGTACAATTGAGTTAGATTCGTGTACTTTCACCTCCTGCTTCAATAGCACATCTTTACACTCGTCTGTACTCGCCACAATTCGTTTCTTTGGTATCGCAAATACTTGAGTTTCATTATCATCACCACGTGGACAGTAAATTTGCCATCCATTTTCTTTCAAACGTACAAACTGTTTTTCATTCACTTCTTCTGATTCATTATCGTCTGATTCATATCCTGAAGGTTCATATAAATTCTCCACTTCGTACCGATCATGAGACTCATCGTATGCTTTAATCAATTGTACATCGTACTCTGTCTTATCTTCTGGGGACAAAAAGACACGCACTCGTCGTCCAATAAGAAGTTGACCTTTTTCCTCTTTTTCTGGATCTCGAAAGTATCCACTTGGAGTTTCTGCATTCTGTATGGATGTTGTCTGCGTACCAATCACTCCTTTACAGCTTTTGGAACCACAAAAACATGTAATTTGACGCGAACCCAGTGCTTTCCACTTGTAATCAAATGTCAATTCTTCACCTGGTGCAATATCATTAATTGCACTCACAGCAATTCTATCCTCACCATCGACTGTCCATTTTTCCGTCTTACAATTTGGTTCACAACTGTGATTCACAAATCTTGTAAAACTTCCTTTACTTCTAGCATCTATATAAATCCCTGGCGCTAATAACAAATAGTAAAAGTTCAGTTCTTGACGAGACACACCCTTAAGTCGTTTTGTTAACTCTTTTTCATCAATAATTTCACCCACATATTCCCCCACAATACTTAATTGTGGGATAAATTCTTTTGTACGTACACCATAGCCCTTATTTTCAGTCTTAAATGGCTCAAGTACTGGAAAACGCTCGGGATGTTGTAAGCGCTGATTACGACAATACATTCCTGCTTCACACGATGCGGAACATTCGACATATGTCGCAAAATTAATACACGAGACATCATCACAGCGTCGTACGTCCATTTCATTTCGTTCCACAGCATCTGGGTACGTACAAAAACACAAAACATTTTCCTCCTCATCGTCGTCTCGACGACTTCGACGTCGTACTAATTCTTGAGTTAAATGTTTGAGTGGATACTCATTACGATCAATAAGTTGTACGTTCCGTAAAGCCTGTAGCTGCTCAAAACTCGTGTCTTGGAATGTGTCAACGTTCGCCATGTTGGTTGACCACGTTAGATGACACTTACGAGTGAACAGTTAAATGTTCATTGGTGGATATTCAAGAAGCAAGGATAAAGACAGAATGTACTGAATTAGATTAACTCTTATAATCATATGGTGACAAGTACAATTAGTGCTACTGAAACAGCGACAAGTGCAAAGCTTGAGATTACTGTTCTTGTGGCAGAAGACATAAAGTTACCACTACCGGACGAAGTTTGTGCCGAAGCACCATAACCGTTAGAAGGTGGAAGTTTGTCACCAACTGATGTACTCGAATCTGTACGCTCGTATGCATTGGCAAGACGGCCATTGCACTCAGGTTGCAAGATTGTACACTCGAGAATAGTTACTAGAGAATACAATCATGAGATCTGGGGTCAGTACAATCTCAACACACGAAAATCAAGCGCAATCTGTACCATCAGGAGTAGGTGGAAGAATAATCGACATCGATTTCGGACAAGACAGAATCTTTGTACGACTTGGAGTATAATTGTCGTACATCAGAGTCGAGTTGACTGTGGTGGTATATGCCTCTTGAAGCTTATTAAATTCGGGATATGGTGTAAATTTACATGGAATCGTGTCGTGATCGCAATCATTCGGTTGAAAATACCCTACACCGTATTTCCCTGGATCTGCAGGTTTGACCAGAGCTAGATATCATAGAAGTTAGATATTGTACGACTGGTTTTAAATATACAAGATGTTTTCGTACCAGACTTATCGACTAAATTGGCAACTTCAGTCGAAAATTCAAATACGTTGCCACCTACAATTTCACTCGTCATCTCCTTCTCTTCATTCATCCATTTTGCCTATACACATGAAAGTAAGCACAACGTTATGTCAACTTTTCTTAAAAAAAAGACGTACATCGTAAAATTCGCGCTGGTTTTTATAGCCATCAATTGTGTTTTTTCCCTTGTTGCACCCAAATTCACCAAACATCAAAGGTCGGGCATATTTCACCTCGGCATACTCGCCCATGAGTGTCTGCAATCCACTTGATTGGGAATATTTGGTGTTTTTTGCAGGATCACATTCCACATAAGGATTAAATCCCATCCTATGTTCAACAGACAAATGAAAATGATGAATAATAATGATATTCTATGGCTCAACGGTACCATTCAGCACGAGTATTCTCGTCATCGTCCACAGCACAATCATAATACGAAATCCATTGCCAACGTGGTGGGATATCAGCAATATCTAAACCTATTGGCACTTGTCGTACAGATCCTGCACAACTTGCTGCATAACTTCGCATATCACGAAGAAAAGCTTTGACACATGGTGCTGTTGTCGTTCCATCAGCTCCATTTTCAACTTGCAAATTATTTTCATTCCCAACACTAAAACCAAGTGTATTATCGTATACTGCAAAGGAATTGTACACCATTTGTCCTCGTGTAAACAACTCGTTTGGATAACATGTTGGTGGAACGTGGTCTTGAACGGAACAATGTTCACATCTACAAACATAAATTGACAACAATTTCATGCACTTAGAAAATTGTGAATCTACGTCCAATCATTTTAGTCTCAATAAAAAACAAAAAAACGTACGGAGCACTAAGACCAATTAGTACATAAATTCCCGCTTCAGAACATGCACACATAAATTTATCGTGTGATACGCTTGGATCAATTGAATAAAGACGAATCGTATTTACTCCAAGAGACTTCATCACTTGAATGTGTGCTTTCCATACTTTTTCATGTTCATCACTTGCCCAGTCATAATTACCAACATTTGCCAATTCCCCACGATTTGGTCGAGGATAGTACGCAATTCCCTTGATGCGAAACTCGAGTCGAGTTATTGAATCAAAAAATTTATTACCTTTTGTGATAATTGGATGAAGCCATGCATTGATTGGTATAGTGATAACACTACACAAGGCAACACCAATGCAATATTTCCGAAAAGAATGACAAAATGTCATTTGAGAATTACGTTCGTGTGGCAGCAAATTGTAGAGTGACTTTGAAATGACGGGAAAACACGAAAGGAAACGACTTGGCTGCAAGAATCTGCAACTGCTGAGAATGCAACGGCTGGGGACGTACACAAATCGTGAACGTTTCATGAAAGGTCTCATTCTTTGTGACGGCGTCTCGCTTTCAGCTTCGAAATTTTAGTAACCGAACTGCGCCAAAATGTGAAAGTATATTGAATTTTATTGCACTCCGAAATGTTGAGGGTCTTTGTGATTATGAAGTTTGTCTGAGAGATTCAGATTAGATTTTACACATAACTTGCTAGTTTTTAGAATTGAACTTTTTGTTTGCAGTCGAATATTATCGTGCCGTAGCTCTTAGACCATAGGATGTTTGTTGGTGAGTCGCATCTCGCGAGGAGTAAGAAGTTGGTATGTGTTGAAGTTGATAGGAAATTCGATTGAAAATCCAACTCTCAAAACCATGTAGCATGATATGTCGAACGGCTCATATAGTCAAAATACACAATAAGTAATAGGTAAAGTTCTGTGTAGAAGTTTAATCATCAGTATTCAGTATACGGTTGAGGGTGAAGGCCAGTTGTGCATTATATAGGGTTATTATTTATATTTAGAAGACATATATCTAGTACCATTTATTTCAGGCTCGTAATGTACTGCTCTTAAAAGTGCAATGGGGTTTCCGTGCATCTCGCACAGAAGAAGCTACAAGTGTCAGAGTCATAGTTTCTTATCACATAGAGGGTGGTTTCAAGCGTCGTCTAGGCAATAAATCAAGAGTATTTCAAGTGCCGATTACGATATTTGCTATATTTTAATGCTTGCGATAAAAATGACAGTATCTTTCATTGTAATGCATGGATTCTCCTTCTTTCGAGGACAAACTACTCTCATTCATTGACGGGTACCTCATGTTTGATGGTTTGGGCTTCCATTTATGTCCAAGAGAGTATAGAAATCAAAATATGGACGTATCACTTATACCCCCAGCTGAATAGGAATTCACAAGCCAACCTGGTCACAAACTGCAAACTGTAACGGGGTAATCTTGTGTACTTAACCCTCACATATTTGAAGCATTACAGTATGGTGAATTCGTACAATTGTATAAGTACCGAAATACCAACATTTACGGAGATGAAGAATCAGAGGTACAAGAAGGCTGATAACTGCACCTCAGAAAAGAAAGACAGTTCTATGTTGAGAGATAGTAAGACCTTAATATTTTGTTTTAATTCTATCAGAATTAATCTCAAGATAGCCGAGCAAACTACTAGTGCTAGCTAATTTAGACGCTCTCATTCCGCTTCCAGTAAAAGCGAACGAACTTATTCTCTGCGCTTCTGTTACGTTGGACACTGACACTCAAAGCTTTTTCGGTGCAAAGCGCACGGTTGTCAAGTAGACCTCCAACGGGTGCAGGTGGAGAGATGGCTGGCCCCCACTGTGACACACTGATGCTAACGTCTAGATCTCCGAGAATCGGGACGGAGGCCCCCCATCTGGATAAGAGAAGTTGACATAACCATGGATTCGGCCTTGCTCCTAACGGAGCTACAGCGCGTCGGACTTGCATTTTCAAAGCTAAATTATAGCGAGCAAGAATGGGCACTTACGTGCTATGCACCAGTAAAAGAGGCGTACCTAACGTTGAACGATTTATAAAGGTGGTTCTTGCGGGTGTTCGCACCGCGAATTCAAGCATCAAGGTACATTTCAAGTTCTTTCTTATCCATCAATGGATGCGAGAAATTTTTGGGAACGCAAAACTGAGGATGCTTGTCTGCTTTTAGTACCTCCCTCCCATTGTTGACGGACGGGTATCAGGTTCGAAAGTGGTCGCTTCGGAACCACCGAGACTAGCTTGAAATGTGCTCCATCTCAATTATTGGCAGTGGCGACCACACTATTCGCTCTTTTTAGCTGCGAGTACTTTGTCCGAGTAAAATATTTATGTGAATTACAAACTATCATGGCGTCTGACTTACTCACAGATGTGTGAATGGCGGCCACGTCACGGAAGGTCTCCGAACTGGTGCGGCTCGCACCAAGATCTTTTACGTCCACGCTACTTCTTTCGGGAAGTTGTCGGTGTTGTGTTTGATGCGAAGAACAGTTCCGTGTCGTGTGGGCAGGATGAGGCGTTGTGAATAAAGATTTCTCTGGTGCACCACCTCAAAAGTGCCGAGGAAGAAGCGATGAATCGCTTAGCTGCTGAGCATCTGCGTGGTAAGTGCAATTTTATTCTATGATAGTAAGAAGCAAATTCTCGTTGCGGGCCATTATTTGGATGGCTGGATTTCCCGCACGGGCGGACGACGTACCATTAACGAGGTGGCGTCATGTCCCAGTTGGTGCATGGCGTTATCAATCATGTAGGGCAGTAAGATGCTGTTCACTTCAGAGCCGGGGTTTCCAGGGTTCAATCCTCGGGCCGGGTAGAGCGGGGTTAGAGTGTAATGAATAAACCCTACCGCACGCGCTTGACATGGCTTAAATGACTCCTAAAAGAAGGAGTTACGCTCTAGAAAATTCGTAGTTGGTGCATGGCGTTCTCCTGAGAATGAATTGAGTTATACTGTACTTCATAGAGGTAGTAGACAGCTTCAAAATGATATACTCTCTTAAGTAAAGGTAAAGTTCACAGCTTAAGGTTGTTGGTAGTTGTTTTATTGCCCCGGACATTGTGTAGCCATGGAGAATTGGGCTATGCTGATGCGCGTTGCGCAATTCCATACGACGCGCGACTGTGAAAATCAGTTGAGTACGTGGAGGCGCTTACGATGCCAAATCTGGAAACAAATCTGTGCATCTTGCGGCGGGAATATCGGCAAATGATTGTTAGGGACTGCTAAATGTTTTAGCAAAGTCAGTGGGCTTGGATAGCTGAAAACGCTCTCTCGATATTGATCTCAATTCGAGATACGATCTCATTCAAGGCTGGGTGTGCCATGGATGCCGGTCTACTGAAGATAAGTTAGATGCCACTCCCTTCACTCCTGATGAAGCTTTAACAAACCGTGAACCCGACTCTACCAAGACCTAGATTCGCGATTGGTGCAGACACAAAGCCTCGTTAGTATCCAGGCAGAAAGTGAAAGTTCCAGATGATTACAATGCTATTGCTGGATGCCTCGCGCATAGGTAGAATGTCAGAAGCAGCAGTAAGCCGAGGTCACAGGATGTGATAAAAAGCGATAGTGTAATGCAGAGTGTATTTCTGCTGAGACGGTAAAGAACGATTGAAGTGTATCTCCGGTGTGATGATATGAAAAGCTGTGAACTGTTGTCGCCAGTGCAAGAGCCAAGGACAATAGAAGCGACTGGGTATCGCAGTGTCCCGTGCTAGAATTGGTGGGGTTGCAGGGCAACTGTAAGTCGCGAGTAGAATGGTTAGACCTTGCAGTTAAAGTGGGCTGACTCATTTCTGATGTGACGGTATTGCTGAGTCAACACTACTGTGTGACGGGCCTACCGTGCGTTGCAGTGCACTCTTCGGGTAAATGTGGAGAAACAAAATTCTCGTGAATAGAGTGACCTGAGTTGGCCCAGGGGTCGTAAGGTCTCTCTCACTTCCTTCAACAGAACCTCTAATGGATCGGAAGAATATATCTCTCGGAGGGTATGTGCGAAAAATCAAAGATTGCGAGGACACCAAAATGATTCAGCTTGTATCGAAGAAGGATCGAACTTTGCCATCCAAAAAGAATAATTTTGTTTTGAAGACATTTGCAACACTCCGAGCGCGGAGAGTGGAGCAGCTAACCTAATGAACATTACGGGTCCTCTCAATACTTTTTTGAAAAAAAAATCCCTCGACGCGGTGACACGGAATCTACCACGCGTATTTCCCCGGTATAGGGCTATACTTTATACCAACACGTCACTTTTGTCACACGGCAATGTTCCTTACGAAGTCCACAGAGTCACTTTATTGGCATTCTCTTTCACTCGAAGCACGAAGAGAGTTTGTTGAGAGAAAGAAAATCTCCACACTTGATATTGATTTAATGTCAGAAAAGCTAACGGCAATTGGTATTGTGCATGCATACATAGAAAGCTAAATTCAGCTTCAATTTTGGCGTAGACGTCAATTTCATAATTTGCGGTGGACTATCACGGAAATCTTTAATGTGTTTAATGCTCTTGTCCTGGTCGACGGATATTTGTAACTGTTGATCAGATACAGCGATGTTCCTCTCACTGTGGTAAGTAATATAAGTGGGGTACTCTGAAAGTGGCTAGTTGTTCCACATAGACTGTCTGATGCACCAGCGACGTTAAATTATCGTATGCCATAGCTTACCAGACCACCTTGTGGCTATGAATAAACTATTTCGGTGCGGAGCACGAAAGCTGGAGGAAGAGAATCACTTTGAACACTTGCGAGCGGTACTCGAGTGTATGCCATTGAATAAAATGTGTATCAGAATAGACGTAAGCGTACTTGGCGCCGACGACATCTGGGTTGCCTCTTCGCGAAGCAAAGCCTGCGGGCAGATCTCCAAGATATTAGCAATTGCCTCGGTTCTGACAGTGTTGAGGAGGCAGTATCTCGGCCTGACCACTTTCTTGCATAAATAACGTGCAAATAATGCTGACATGTCACGACCTCTTACCAAACCCTTTATAAAGGTGTCAAAATGTTGTCGTAATGCGGTGGAAGTGGCAAACTATAAGGCTGTGACAGAAACTCTCATGCGTGCCCAGAGACTTATCCAAAGAGGTATTTCTTCGTCATTTGTGACACTCAAGCGTCTTGAATGAACTTTGCTTTACGTCAAGCAGATTACAATAATCATGAACGTATGATCGCGCTTGAGTCTCGGCAGCTTAGGCAGCCGAGAGGAGCTACTCTGTTCATGACGATAAGCTACTTGTGATGAAACATGTCCTCATCGTTTTTGGGCAAGCCTGCTTCCCTTAGCCATTTGTGATCTATACAGATCGTGCACTATTGACTGTAGCGATGTTTTCACCACATCTTTCGCCGAGAATGACACAATGCTTTACTTGGTTGCAGAAAATATATCTGATAAAGTTCCGGGCCAAGTCGTGTGATATGGTGGCGATTGATTTTTTGCGTCGTCTCGACTAATAAAAGCTTTATGTCGGCGATACGTACAGTGTCAGGATCAGAAGCAATTTTCGTTGCACTGCTGAAAGTTCTGGGAATCTGGAAGCTTAGAGCTCAAATGTTAAGTGTACGGTTGCACGTCTTAATCGCTCTGTCGAATCCCAAAGATTGCTGAATCACAGCACTGTCCCACACGAGACTCAGCGCGTAGAGATGCCTTATAAAGAACGCATGCACAGAACTCGACAAAGCACGTGGGTGGCCACTTTGGTGAGATATTACTCGGTAATTATTATGTCTTCATGGCCCAGCATGTGTAAACCGGGTAGCACGTCTGTGCACACTCGTAAAACGTGTCAGCGGGTTAAGTTCACGCTGTTGCTGTAATAATTTTGGACAGCCTGCCAAATCTAAAAAGGAGTTTAAAGCTCTCGAGAGACTCTTTTATCTTACTTTCCAAAAGACGCGATTGATGATACTGGTAATAACAGCCAAAGAGACGCGCTGTCGGCGCATGACGGACCTATTTTGAGGTAAAATGCCAATTTAGCTACGAAGTGGTACCGGGCTGATATCAACAAGTTGGATTATATAAACAACCCTTCCCACTAAACAAAACCCACTTCGTGGTGGTGCCACCGGAACACGGATAGGCCAGAATATCTGATGAGAATTGATGTAAAAGCCTGTAGGAGTATATCTCGTAATATGATGGATGGAAGTATTTTGCACCAGTGCCGATTCACTTAGCGCAACATATTCGACGCATATCCTCTGCCTCATGATCATCGTGTTCTGCCTAAATATTCGTCTGAGATGCGCCCGATTTGGCGCCAAGCACCTTGAACAAAGTTTCTAAAAGTGTGCAGGGAGTTGCGAATCATAATCTTACACAATAGCAATCGGCAGGTCACGTTGGCGAAGAAACAGTTTTCTTTCCTGTATTCTCACCGGTAGAGGCGTCACTGACAGCAGCATTTTAAGCAATCTTGTTAAATTCTCTACATAGACTATTACTGACCTTTTTAAGATATCAAAAATAAAGCTCATGCTCACGTTCAATCTACTTTTTCTGAAATCGGTAGACCGGCCTAGAGTACCGAGTCATGCGGTAGATGTTTTAAGCGCTGACACATTCAAACGCGCGCACATTAACGCTAGCCAAAAAAGGCTTCAGTTACAGTCGTGACTACCCCGAATTGAATGCAAATACATCCCATTTTTTATGTAGCCTGACTCAAGCCACATTAGAACTTCGCACCATTAGCCCTCGGGCGTAATGTTGTAAACAAAGCAACATCTGGATTGCCATCGTATCTAAGCTACGCTTTGCTCTATAAATTTGAATCACTTCTGTTGGCCGGGAATATTGTGGATAGTTGAAAAGACGTTTGACAGGCAGCCGAGAATCTTCGCGGACGCCCGATGATATTCTCGGAGAGTGATAACGCGATACGACAATCCTAATATCTCAGGAGCGCTTGCCATGCAGATTTGTTTTGTTTCGACGAACCCAGTTCGATTTCCAAAGGCTCGGTACACTCAAAAAGAGTCATGACAAGTCACTCATAAAATAAAATGGCTTTTTTCATTCCACGAAATTTTGAAAGGTTGAGTCCCCATCCCGGCAAAACTACACCTTCTGGCATAACGTTATCGAGTGTACCGTAAAGTCGTGCACTCTGTTATGCTTCTTACTACAAACATGAAACCGTCTTGTTCTAAATTTAGGAACTTACCCAAAACTGTATGAACAGCTTTTGGGATTGAGCATGAGCAGGGCGAGGACGAGTGTTGCCCTCGATGCCACTGTCGCGCGTTTGTATCTTTCAAGATCGATCGTCCAGCGACATCAGTCGAGCGCTTGTTTTTTAGGCTTTAAATGTTGGCTTAACTTCCTCACTCAATGCTCGAATTGAGCGATGATCTCAGCACTGTTAGCACTGTTACCAGGTGGCAGGACCACCGAATGACGTCGCCGCAACTGATCCATCAGGAAGCGGTACCCCGGAAGTGTTGTTTTACGTAAAAAGACGCTAACAAAAAGAAGTTGGCGTATGATCTTACCCTCAGATAAAGCTGGAAATATAACCGCTTTGAATTTTGGGCTGCATTGTAGCGCGCCGACCCGCATGTGTCAGCTTTGGTCGATCAAATAGTCAGGATGTGATATAGTCGTTATTGGCTAAAAGTTATATATTACTCATATTCACGTCTACCACGCAAGTAAATAACTTAAGTTTCTGTCTTTTGCAAGCATTTAACGCCTATCCCCTCGTCGGTCCCGCAGCGGGAAAGTTGGCCTAATCTCGATATATAAAATGGCGCGGCATGCAAATGTAGCGTGAAAATTGAAGACTCTTAGGCACTCAAGGGACATCAAAATGAAAAGAACGACAAGCTGTGTGGCCTTTGGGGAAGGTGGTGGTTATGGGCAAAATTTGGCTACTGGCTCGGACTACTCTTTTCCGCGAGTCCGTCGCCTTCTTCACCAATTCCTTCAAATGTTGCCTAGTTCTTTGGGATAGCTTTTTTAATCACGCGATTGGACATTCAGTTGAGAGTGGAGTGCCCAAAAAGTACAAGCTCTTAGACCTGGCGCTGAGGTATGTATGTTGGAAAGCCTTGAGACCAACGAAAAGTCAAGTAACATCGCTTTCGCTCAGAAATAAAGCAAATATAAAAACCTATTTGGTTGTCATCAACGACAGGATGGATAGATGCGCTGGAGTAAGCAGCAAAAAACCACTTTTTAGGCTTTTCAAGCCTACGCATGTACGTTTCACCACTTTGTTTACGTTGGTCATCACTCCATCGACTTGTCTAGCCGAACGTTTTTTTCGCAATTTATATCTCCTATCATGTGCCCCAAAGGCAATTTTGTATTTATAAGCTATCTTATAGAGCCAAAAATTATGTATAACGCGGGTCAGCGCTGTAATTCAGCTGACCATATAGCAAAAAGAGCGGTGAAAATGCGTTTGCAATTAATTGTAGAAAGCAGAATTAAATTTTAGAAATCCTCGCTCCAAAATGATGCCAACAATTCATCGCAAATTATGCCTGGTTCGGGTGACAATGGCCAGCATCATCACAGCTTGATGTCACGTTTGTGTTGATTCTATATTAAAAACGATACGAATGTCACCGGTCGTAAAAAGATAACTTCATTACGATTTCGAAGGCTTAAAGTAGGGCAGGTGCTAATTGAACTTAAAAAAAGAATGCTTCATGGCAAGCAGCTCCCTATTTGCAGTATTATGCTGGCAAGAAGCAAACGCAACAACATGCTTGTATAATTTCAATTGATAGCGTAACATATTACAGAGAGGAGTTTTCCAGACGACATGGAATGGCAAACCCGAAGGCTTTTGCCATGGGATCTCCGAGCTCTTTGTAATCAGGAAAAATTGACTCTTAAAATGGTTTTGCTCGCTCCTTCAATTAGCGAGACCGAGAGCCTCTTAATAAACTGAGAGTGTTAATTCGCTCCGCTATCCTAAGCGCACACATATTTCCATTCTGGACGGTACTAAGACTTTTCGTTTTAATTGATATTATAATGCTACGAATCTGTTTTTCTACCATGCGGCAGGCAGCCTACACCTATCGCGCCTTTTCGTTTCAGTCTTTCGCTATTTTTACGTCCTCGTGTTGAGGGAAATTGAAATTACACCAAATGCAATGTGAATATGTTAATATTGTACTAAATTTGTAAGGGTCAAGTACACAAAATTACAGTACTTGCCCGACTATACCTATCCCACTGAGATGTTGGGCTCCTATTAGTTAATTTTTTAATGAGGTAGGAAAAAGTCTTCTTCCTCAAGCAAACACTCTGCTTGCCATCCTTCTCCATTTATGGCGCTTTACTGAGCCTGCTCTTCGCCCCCGTGCACCAAATCAATCCGCACGAAGAGCACTCGCTAAAATCGAGGTCTTTGGGACTGATGTGCTGAATGAAATTCTTGATGAAGATAGCGAGGAACTTTCTTACGAGAACTCTGAGTTTCGACGAAAACGTCCTTCCCGGTGATACACGGCCTAGCTATTCTCCAAGGAAAAATCTCCTTGCTTTCAGCCTCCCTGCTGCGCGACCTTCGTACTTCATACATATTTTTGCGAGGGTGATTTCTCCTAAAATGGTCAAACCTTTCCTAAAGAAGGAGGCTTTCCATTTCACCGCAGCACAAGTCTCAAACATCGTGCATTTTTTTATCGGCAAGAAGTGTTTTGATCATCGCGGTAGAATTCACGACAAAGTCCTGATCGTTGGTAACGAGCGTAGCTTTCTCCACCCCAAGCGTATGCGTCGAGACAACTTCTACCCAAGTTAGGTGGATGTCACGGTTCCGAGGTATTTGAAGTCGCTCGCCAAGTTAATGCAAAGTTCGTACTTGCCTATGCATTTTTGCCTTCCAATCGCATTGGAGCAAGCCGAGCACAAGAAATTCGCTCCGCAAGGTATTACAGGTCATTTATCTCTCAGGACCCGTCGCGCATCAAGTAGCAACTTGATAAGATAATTTTCACTTGGACCGTACTTTGGGGCTAAATGCTGGCAAGAAGACCGCTGTTTACAGCCTCGCTCAATTCAATGAGACAGCTGTTACACTTACCGACCATAGGTCCCGTTCGCCGGGAGGTCAGTCGTGGTCACTTGTCGAGAGCGGGCCACGATGAGCAACGACCGTGCATCATTGCACAGTGACGTCGCCATCATATCTCTTGCAAGGAATAGTAAGACGGTTAACCTGCATTGCAGATATAATGAGGTCGGTCTGATGTAGTGGTGGATGCGCTTTCGCGTTGCTTCGTCTAGAAAAAACTCATGTCATAATGCTATCGATTCCAATTACTGAGGCGATACGTACAGCTTACCAGTCAGGCGCAACTTTTGTTTCGCTGCCGAAAGCTTTGGGAGCTAAAAGCTAAGGTGTCTCTTATCAAAATGCACGGTGCCGCTATGCCTTTTCACAAGGCATGCTGTACTACAGCACGGACTCACATGACACTCAGCGAATATTGGTGTCTACGTCTATAGACGTACAGCTCGGTAAAGATTTGCACTGGTGGCACAACATGTATAAGCGAGTAAGCACATATGTGCGCACGTCTGATCTGTATCGGCGGGTCGAAGGTACGCCGCATGCAGCAGCACCTTTGGTCAAACTGTCGAATCCGGCAGAGTTGGTGCAGCACATCAGTATGGACCTTATTTTTGGTCTTCCGAAAGACGCGTCCGGCATTACCGATATTGTGGTCTTTGTAGACCGACTGAGCAAGGTGGCTCATTCCGCTGCTGTCAGCGATAATATGACCGGTGAAGATACAGCCAAGCTGTTCCTCGCTATTGTTTTATTGCCAGTCGCCGTAATATCGGATAACGATTTGCGCTTACCAGTTTAACTTTGCAAATATTGCTCAGTGTTATCGTCACTAAAGTGTATATATCAACAGCTGACGATCCGAGACCAGATGGTCAGATGGATGGCGTAAATTTTGTAGCGGCGGATATCTGTAGAGCACTTGTGCAAATTGGCTGCGGTGGTGGAGCGTGTTTGTTGCTCAAAACCGTAGCGTTTGTGCTGAATAACGCAGTACAAAACTTTACATGCATTACATCTCCGTCATCATAAATTGGCTGGTAAATTTCGGTGACGTTGACACCATCACAAAGTGGTTCTGGTCATAGTTAGGTAGGGGCTTTCGATCAATATTGACTTGCTGATATCAACCCGGCTAGTCTTCGTCGGTATTTTATTATTTATTTCAATGAGATTGCGCATCATGCCCAGGAGGCGATAAGCTATGGCTGAGAGGTTAGACAAACAAAAGCAACACGCTGCTGTCAGAATTTGACGAAACACAGGCGAATATATTATAGGGTAAAAAACTGTTTTAAATAAAATTATCTTTTTCAACATGCAGTTTATGAGGTCTTAAAGACCAAGTTGCGACCACACTACATCGGATCGTTCATGGTCGGAGCTTGGAAAGAATTGACTCTTAGTCTGAATGCTCAAAATCAAAAGCGGATACGTTGTGTGTTCTACAGCCCACTGAAACCATTCCACGAATTGCGCTTATGAGCCGATCTGACGTAGAAATCATCGCTCTTACCCCCCCGTAGCTGAGATCCCCGTCATCCCACTCCCCATGCTCTGCACGACGCTGGACGAACATATCGTCGAGTAAGGCTTCTGAATAAACAAGATATGGACTGAGCAGTTGTGTAACCAGTTGATTGATCGTAGCTGGTGAATAAGACAGTCCATGTGGTATAACTAAACTTTCCTAGAGTATCTGAATTGGAATCCTTACCGCAGAAAAATAACAATCGCTACCTATGAACAGCATAGGTATAAATCATCGACCAAGTCGAACTTAGTGCAGCCGTCCATGCTGGCTTCTGAAAGATTAGCGCATTTACCGAAATCGTAGATGTATTTAGTATTCTACAAGCATACACAATCCGCCACTTGCCGTTAGCCTTCTGACACGGTAACCAGGCGCCGACCTTGGAGGTTTCTATCTCATCAAATCCGCTTCGTGGTTCGCATCACTAGCGTCTATGACGTTAAAATGTTGCTTTGGGAAGGGTCATTGCCGTGCGGCACAGTATCTGGTTCCGAAGTAGGCCAACTTCGCAGCGCACTTATCGGTACGAGGGTATTACGCGCGGTGGTTCGCTCGGCATCACGTCAATATACTTCTTCAGCAGGAAAAAACCAATCCGGAGGATTCTTTAGGCTTGCTATGCCACCCCTCACACACAGTGCTCTGCGAATGCCCTCAATGGCGAATTTCTATTTAATGGATGACAAGCCCAGCTCCTCCTCTGCTACCAAACGTACTTTTTCGGTGGCCTCATCGTCTTGTATTCTTTGCACATACACTTGAGAGATAATTCTTCATACTCTATATGAGCTTCTGCCGCATGTAGAGACTTACAACATTTAGTGCAACCCCGATCACTTCAATCACGAAAAGCATAGATTTATCGTCAATTTACCTGTGGAGCTCCGCTGCTCCGCACAATAGGCCCATTACACGGCAAGCTGACTCACAAGTACCGTCATAATGTGACAGACGATGAACAATTTTTATCTTCGTAATCAGTCTTTTTCCCGACATTTTTAGTCATTCTTCAATTCTACTGGCTAGAACACGTGCGATTGAAACTCTAAGGCACATTCATTCTCCACCGGCCATAGTGCTCAATACAACAACTCACCGCTGCTCGTTACCGTATGATCAGAGATACACACGACTTACTGATTTACTGTCGTTTCTCAAAACAAAAATACTATGGATAATGCGATACACAATCGCCCTTTTTCGTCTCTTGAAGAGACCACGGTTTATTGCTGCTTCTACCTTCCGAGCTCTGCTTGAGGCATCTAGCAATGTCATTGCTTTGGCACTCGGATACTCTCATGTTCTGTACGAAAGCTATCGCATATCCAAAAAGCGCTTTTTTGGCAAAAATGTATTACGCACTCAAACGTTCGTCACATTGGCAGCAGCTAAGATTGCTAAGTAGCAGTAGACATTCGTGGTTCTAGCTTTTTTGACTTGCAGTCGACAAATGGCAGGTAGTGCTCCAGCCACGCTATATGCTAAATGAGATCGTCAGTCGGATCTTTGCCCACGACTAGGCAACGTTCCTTGCCATCATAGATTTCAAATTTCCCTTCAGAATTCAGCATCGCTTGGATATTTTTACAAACGTTCTCGTCGTAGGACAAATAAATATTGTAGTTGTATTTGGAATCTTTAATGCCTCATACCGTCTAAGGGTTTCGACGATTGCTCGTTGTATGTAGCGGGGCTGCCGTAGCTCTTTGCTAGAGGAAGTTAAGCTAAGGTGACCTACCTTACGTTCTAAACTAGAACCAGTATGCGTGTAGCGGATTGCAATCCGCTAACTTTACGAGTACCCACAACCTTACACTAAAGGAATACACTCTCCCGTTCAGACATCAAACTGTATTTATCCAATTTTTTGCGGCAAAGCCGCCTATATCAAAATATATAGATTTACTTATTAAACCCTACTAATATGCATAACTACCGGCAGTCCCTGTAACGGGGTTACACGGACCCTGGTAACAGATTTGTGTGTCACACAAGATGTGCTTGGTGTGACCAGACCCAAACAAGAATATGGTAAGGGGTTAGGTAGCCAGTAGTTATACATGTATTTAGATTTTACTATATATATTTAATATACTTACGAAAATCTAAATTTTTAAAACTTGGCGGCTTTGCCGCAGATAAAAATAAAAAATCAGTTTTGAATTTAAAGCGAAGAGTCTATTAGCCTTAGCTAAGGTACTAAGTACTCTTGGAGGTAGCGGATTGCAATCCGCTACACTCGTTCTGGTTCTTGTAGAGAACGAAAGGTCGGTGAACTAGATCACGCCTCCTCAAGCACAAAGCTACGAGAGCCCCGCTGCAGTTTCGTCATGTAGTGGCTTCGTCTTACGGTGTAGCCACACCATTGTGTGATTATTCCAATATCTTGTGTAATCCACACCTGCATGTTCACACCACCTTGTGTGACCCACCCTTTCAGGGTATGTGTAACCCCTGGCTCCACAAAGTCCGACATGATGGAAACAACATCCCTAGACTGAAAGCCTCACCTTCTTAAAAAAACACCTCTCCTTTCTAAAATTAATCTCGCTGACAACGACCTCCAAAAGGTGCAATTGGATCCAGTATCAACCTTGAAAAACGCCTTGCCCGATTTTGTCGTCCACCCTTGCATGAGAGCCCGCCCCTTCGTACCTCTCATTCAAGAGAGAAGCAGCACGCAAGGCGTGGACTGCGGCTGCCGCGAAAATCCTAATGAGCTATATGATTTGGATCCTACTTTTAGTATCGCTAAAATCAATAACCTCCAGCGTGCTTGAAAAGCTTCCGTTCCTTGCACTCCTTCTCGTCGTAGCGGAACGGAAGCTGCACTACGCATTAAATGCGACGCTAACCTCATTTTTAATTAGAAAGTGTAGACTCGGAAGCTCTCGGTGGATGTCGTGCCTGCTTTGAGTAACCTATATGAAGATGGTGATAGCTAACGCCTTTTAGAGGGGCAAACATTTGCGCGATAAGAGCTTGCATCTTTTGGGCATAGCCCAACGATCCTGCCGTCTCTGACAGGTAGACAAGGATTTTAAACGATAGGCAATGTGACCACTAGAGTGATATCTGTATCTGTACCTTGTCCTAGACTGGACGCACCTCGTTTACCAAGGTAACCCACGTTAGAGCTCATGAGCGCACCACCTGATAATTGCAAGCGGGACGACACTTTGTAGAAATACTGAAACGTAGATTTGAGTATTAGTCTAACTAGCACTTGAAATAGTAGACCAATTCAAAAGTCTGAGTGATGTCATAAGCTCTCTGTTTCGCTCTTGGTGTGAGCGCACAAAACCTATCAATATGCGTTTGTTAACTATTCTTAAATTTGAAGTTTTCCCTGTACAAATTGTACGACAATCACGCTGCAGAGCGTATACGGCGAAAATTGTACTTAGTGTGTCGAAAAATATAATAATTTAACATGTCGAGTCACGTATGTACCTTAAGTCGTTGCACCCTGGCATTTTAAAAGTACAATTGGTGCCAAAAGTCGTCTAATACTCTACAAGGAAAGTCTCCAAGGCAAAAAGTCGAGACTTAATGCTTTTCACGCGCACGTATCTTTCTTTATCGATATGTCGCAATCAAAGCTCAAAGTCAACGATTGATGCACAGAATCAATTTCTGTGGAAGTCAATTGAACAAAGCAGCGACAGATTAGGGCAGCGCAGCGACGCTTATCATATGACGAAAAAAGAAACATTTACAGTTTGAGATTTTTATTTGCGCTTATCAGATATTGGGCGAGATACAGAAGGGAAACAAACATCCACACTTCGAAGCTCTTGACAAGTGCTTGTTACATCTACAGAGATTTACGCAATGAAGGATTCGTACTTGGCGGGGTTCCAGTCTGGGAAGAACTTCGCCACACTTTCCTGAACTTCCTCTTCTGTGCCAGCCACACCACGTCCATCCTCAAAAAGCGTTGTGAGGAACGCCACAAAGTCCGTGTCATACTTTTTCTTGTTTTCTTCGAAATCGATGTAGCGCACCTCAATTTTCTTGTTCAATTTCTTTTCTGCTAAGTCACGAATCTGCATCGGGGACAACCGCTCACTCTCGAATGGAATCTTGGCGTCAGAAAGCGCAGACTTTGGAGCAGTGGATAGAACATGGGCAACGAAATGACCAACGTCCTTTTGTGGCGTAATGCTGAAGGCAGTCTCGCCCTTACCCACTACGTTCATGTAGCCTTCTTGAAAATTAAACCCAAGGATGAAGGGTAAGTACTCGGCAAAAAGACCCGTGTAAAAAATGGTTGCAGGGATCTCGTGCTTCGCAAGCAAGTCTTGTACCTCTTTCTTAGTCACATTCGGTCCTTCGGTCACCGTTACGCCATACTCGGATGGCACAAATAGCTGGATACCAGCCTCCTTCGCAGCGGGAATGATGTCCTTTTGAACATTTAAATGATAAGCCGACACGGTGCTGACGACAACTTCACTGCCACTTAGCGCATTCTTGATAGCATTCGCGTCGTCGTATGAAACTTGGTGTAGTGTTGCACCGCGAGCCTTAAATGCCTGAAGCTCTGGTTTAGTCTCGTCACGTGTGAGAATGGCGACGGACACAGCGTCACCCTTTTTAAGCAACTCATCCACGACGGTAGCACCGACGCCACCAGCTCCGATAATGGCAAACTTTGTATAGACAGACATGATTAATGAAGGGAGGAGATAAAGCTGACTTCGGATGCTTCAGGAATTTTGATTAGTGAGATTGTAGCAAGTTTCTTGTTAATGTTGAATATGGTATTTGGTGTGCAACCCTTCAATGTTGTCGTCATCACAAGTGTTATGGCATGCCGTAGTGTTTTTATTCTTAGGATTTGATTACTGACATAAAACCCACAAGTATCCACAATCATAAGGTAAAATGTTGAATTTGGTCGTAATCACGAAAATCTCAGTAATATCACTGGGGCTCAAACTCACTTACTTATATTATGGAACAGTAATCTCCAATCTCCTAATTGTTTGACCAAGTGTAATCTAGACTGGTATACCATATATCAGGTGTAGCGTCAGACTCGAGCTTGAGTGATTATGCCAATTGCACGAATACTATATTCCATATATTGCTTCTCGGACTGATGGTTTCGCTTATTTAAATTGAACATGAGACACTGGTGGATGGCGTACGAGGCCGATCCTGGTGATAAGACGTCGTCAGATAAGCACCTCAAATGTGCAGTCTTCAAGGTCTTAGGTGCGTACTATAATGAGCTTTAATTGTCTTAGAGATGACATCCAGAGTTCATCAGAAGGATCAGATGAAATTAGCAAGGCTCTGCATCTGATACTTTCAGTCATAGAATAAACATTTCAGATTATGAAAGTATGCAGCATATCTACTGAGAAGGAAATAATTTCTGAGAGCACTAAAAAAAATCTTTATGGATGACGTTATGCAACGCCAGGTGCAGCAGTTCGCGACTATATCTACCTAAAGGCATCACCAAACTTTTATAACGAGATAGTGAGGCCCAAACACAACAAATTTGGCTCTGTGAACTGCCTCCATTGTTACCGGATATCTTGTCAGCACAAAAACTCCTTGAAATCTGACGAGATCTATAAGAGCCCTCAACTCCTCGTTATTGTCACATTTTTAAACTGATGCGTAAGTCGAATGAGCAAATCTACAGGTTACTCTCTGAAGCGAAGAGTGAACGATTGACTTAAGACACATTAAGCAAATTACTTGCATCCAAAGCCGGATGCCAACGTGAATTTTTTGTTTCAATTTTGATCGGAAAATGTTTGGAAATCATCAACTTCAGCTACCACATGCCAAGATCAATAAACATTTCATAATTGCACGAAAGAATAATTTGAGACCTTTCATTGTCAAAGCATATGCCACGCTATATCTACATCATTTCGTTATTCCTTAACTCTTTTCATGAGCGTAATTTCGGCGTTTCATGTCATTTTCAAAGCTGCATGAGACAAGAAGCGCTGTGCTGGCACTTCCGGCCCCTTTATAAAAATATGGCAATCAAAGCTTAATTGTCTAATAAAAGCTGAGGCTTTTCACTAGTAATTTGCTCACGAGAATCGATTTTGGAAGTCCAACAGGTGAGATATGATGTTTACATTCTGCTAATCATGAATAAATTTCACGTTCAGCAGGATAGACAAACCAGATATCATCCTCCAGACTATAGAATACCAAATCACCTCCGTGTTTTGCTATCCACAATCGCCGCTTCTATAACATTTTCAATCCAAGATGATAGTAGCGATTACAATGCACTTTGGATTATCGTCAGTTACCCTCGACCGGTTACCGCATGCCTGCCGCCATAACAAACCCCTTTCTTGCTAAGAGACGAAAATGTTAAGCGTGAATCTTAGTCATATTCATACGACACTAACGAAATATTGCTCAACCTCGCATTCTGTGCAATTATCAGCATCTCAAGGTTCAATACTGTCTCCGGCCCGAGTGATATCTTCATTAGCACTCGTTCGGTTTGCTTCCACCAACACCACGAGACTTGACAGAACTATTAGACCCACCCAATGTCTTCGTGATTGCATTCAGCTTGTTTTGTCAAAAGTCTTCGCTTGACGACAATTCCACCGCATCTTGACTGATACAGACCACCACCCTTTAGTCGATCATTGTCTGCATTTGATTGTCTCCGCACTTAGTACCCATACCAGATAATACACCGCTTTGAGTCATCGCTTTAATTTTCTCTCTCGATTTTCTATCATAATTTAACAGGTTCTTTCATACACAATACATTTAACAGTGTGGACATTCAATTATACTGAATAAACTGTATCATCTAGTCCTTCATTATTCTACTTTCTTTCGTAATAGTTGTAGATCAACGTAATCTATCACACTTCGAGGATCGCCAGCAGAACTTGTTGCTTGATTACTGTGGTATACAATGTGGTCTAATGCTCTGGATGCCGCCAAGGATGAAAATACAATCTCCTGCTGTCACACCTTCGCTGATTTAAAATCAACCTGAATATTCATTGTTGTTATTTGGGAATCCGCTCGGTATCTTTTGCTCAAATACAGACCAAGCATCAAAAGATCTCATTTTGAATCGCAGTCATTATTTTTGACTTTAAAAATCAACAGTATGAAATGACTGTAATCGTTTGACGCACTCCTTCGTTTCTTTTCGATACTTTGTACTAATCAGGCTTTTATAAAACTAAGAATTAAACAGCAGCACAAGCAACACTGGCGTTCAATATTAATCCGCCAGTTAACGCATATCTCGATAGGTTAACGATCTGTCGCGACAGAATCTGCTGGATAGATCAGAAGTGCTTCAGCTTTCCACCAATAGCCTCAATTCATATTTTACTTGTCCTCCCAGCACTATACTGCTACAGTAAAAGCCATGTGTCCGGGAAGGGAGACGATTTGATAGTGGTGGTAGTCCAGAATGACACGTAAAATCACTCTTCCAATCATTATTACACGAATACTCAATACACACTGCACGCGATTTTTTTTCACGTCAAAAGGTAGCAATTCAATTTCAACTCCTTCTATTCGCCTCTAATATGCGGCTTTCATCATTCTTGCGTAGAGATAGAGTCAATCGAGTGCGCTACGGCAAAAGCTTCTCGACAGACCTTCGTGCACAATCAGCTAGAAAAACTGAGTCTGCTGACATCTGTGCAAGGTTCAGTGACCACTGACCACCCAACAAACATTTCGTCCAAAACAGTGTGACAGCAGTCGCTGATGATATCTAATGTAGGCTTGACTGAGAGATGTTGGTGTTGTATTAAATTGATATTTGGTCATGGAGTTTATCAATTTTACGGCGTATCAGCCGGCGTGAATTTTTCAACAATACGTGTTAAATTTCTTTTGTGAGGACGTCTCTTCAATGTAGTGATTGCGCTACTTAGCTCGCTGATGCCTCGAATATCTGTCAACAGCCGTAGATTGAGAACAGCATGGGGACTATAGAAAAAGCAGACGTGAGAACGAAGAAAATCAGACTAGATCTTTACATGTAGATCTAAAAAACGATTATTGTGATCTTGCTCTAAACGCTCAAGACATCAAGACTTACCTCTACCCGCTACTTTTAGTAGCGCTTGAAGTTCGATTTCGCCGCTTCCATTCCTGCCGTCTCTGTCCCTGCCCATGTAGCAAGTCAGTCCCAGCATCATCAACAACAAGCAATCACAGTGTAATTGACGCTTTCGTTACCTCCGCCGCGGACACTGTCCCAATTTTGCGCGCTCCTCTGCTGTTTGAAGTACACCTGCCCGTACCTGATTCCGCCTGTACGAGTTCGTTCTACTTGCCTTTGTCTCGGTTGTCCACCAAAAAAGACAAGGAAGCGCTAGTATTGGATTTAAGTCTGCCTAACAGCTAGCTATCTAGAAGCGAATTTGGGCTGTTATAAAAAAACAAGGTGTTGCTTTTTCAAATTGAAATGCTGCCCAGATATTTTGCGCAATAATAGCACACGATTCAGGTAGAATATCCTCAAGTGCAGTTGTCTCGTGCACCGAGAGAAAAAGAAGTCTCTTCGCGCGAAAAATAGCAGGCTGAGAAGATTTAAACAAACAATCTACTCATTGGATACGAGTGGTGAAAGACTTATTATTAGCCCAAAACATGTGCAGCTTTTGACATCATAAGCAGTGGTTTTGGTATGATCTTTGCTTTCTCA